CACTGATGAAATCAACCAGACAATGGACACAAGTGATGTGATCAGGTCAGTTGACACAAATGATACAAGAGCGACAGTAGACACAAGTGACTCCAGTGAGACAGCAGACACAAGTGACCTGATTGGGACAGTAGACAAAGGTGATGCTAGTAGGACATCAGAGCCAGTTGACACTTGTGGGACAGTAGACACAAGTGACGTGACTCGGTCACTAGACTCAAGTGCCGACACAAGTGGGACAGTAGACACAAGTGATATAACTGAGACAGAACAAGAGATAAAATAGTTTTGCAGCGTCCTTTTTTGTTTCATCGAATTTTCGTGATTTTTGTCAGTGCATCTGAAGTCAAAGTGTTGTAATCACACCAGATTAATGAATAATAATGATATTTTAACGGGAAGCTTTCTCACCCGTAGGTGATCTACAGAAAGGTCCCGATCCAAAATAACATTGGAATAAAGAATAAAGTTTTGTAATTAAAGAAAAATTCAGCTTTCTTCCTCAGATCTCTAACTACTGTACCAGAGGGGAGAGCTGGAATTTAAACTTATTAGAGCGAATCACTAAAGCAGCAAGTAGTTGTCATATTGCGACTGAATTGCAAGAATTAGTCATCGTCACCATCATCATCATCATCGTCATCATCATCTTTAATTTGCCACACCATAAATGATAATAAAAAATAACAAAAACAAAAGGTGTCGAGGACACCTCCAGAAAACCACCAGGCTTATAGCGGAGCCCACCTCAGTTGTTTTAAGTTCTGGGTGAGCGTCGTCCCGACCAACCGCCTCTGGGTCTCCGAGGATGATTCCAACAGTGCCCGTCTTAAATTCCTCTGGGCCAGGCTCCAGGTAAATTCCCCGGTGTGGGAATAATAAGTCGGTCGAATGCCCCGGGGTGGGGACAAGAAAGGAGACAAATGCTTGTGCCCCTGGGGTTCATCCAAAAAAACAAAACCGTACTCAAGACTTGGTAAATCGTAACCAAGAAAATACTAACACTGGGTAGCAGCTGGTGTTGGTATATTAGGGCAGTTTTCACTTGACTGTCGGAAG